CCGGTTTTTTTTATTAGAAATTCCTTCTGCGCCTGTCAGACTTCGCGCTGAAGTCATCCCAAAGAAGTCACCCATTTCTTCCCAATCGGTGGAATTGACTTGGGATTCTGCGTTTATTGGTAGCCCTTCTGACTCACCCTCTGAATATATCATTGAAATGAGGCGGAAAGGATCGTCCGAGTGGACTGAACTCACAGTAGTGAAAACTGCCAGCAGAAAATGTTCTCTCACCACAGAGCGGATGGCTGAGTTTACTGATTACGAGTTCCGCCTAATCGCCAAGAACTCTGCTGGAAGAAGTGAACCTTCGAATACCTCAAATCCTATTACTCTGGGTATGCCGTTAAGAGATCAAAGTTTTCAATGACTGGGCAACTGGCTTTATTATGCTTTCCAATATTTAATTCGTCAGATCAGACGGCAGATAAGAACAATGCAAATCAACTCTCCTAAATCGCTGACAAAGTGGGTAGGGTATCAGGTTTACTCTGACATAGAGTTACAAATTCCAGTCAACAATAACCACCACTGATAAGACTAAATGACTCATTTGATACTTAAAAATAATTAAAATAAGACGTATTTTCAGCGTCGTATCACAGAATGCATAACAAACAGCTGCGCATTTAAAGCGCGTTCCAAGCCATAGCACTATGTGTGAATTCAAAATTTATACCTAGTCGTGCAAGTTTAGTTAATAGTGGTCTTTGCTTAAAGGTTTGGCAAAAACTAAACACTTGACAGACTGAAAACGTTACAAACGTTATCGGATCCCTGAAATCCACAATAATTTGGTTTAAGTTTCATAAAAGCGTTTGTTCTATCTTGAAACCAAAAGGCATTCCCCTGGAGTTTGTGCGAGAATTGCCTGATATTGTCGTGACACAAATGCCAACAGAGGATGAAGAAATAGTTCTCAAATGTGAACTCTCGCGACCGCCTCGGTCAACGCGCTGCTGGAAAAGAAATGGAAAACCACTACCGAAGCAATTACCCGATTACGTGAAAGTCCTAGAAGATAAAGATTCAACAGAACTAGGAATAATTTTCAAGAAAGTAGAAGATGAGGACGCCGGAACATACGAAATAGAAGTTGAAGGGATAACATCCAAAGGAAAGATAGAAATAAAAAGTAAGAAAGACATTAAATAATTAATAAATCAAAAAACGATTAAATAACTACCGTTTACTTCCGCAGTTGCACCAACACTAAACCTACCAGCAAATTTCGAGGATACGATAATCTTGAAGGCTGGAGCGTCAACGGTCGTTGAGGTGCCATTCGTGGCTAGCCCGAAGCCGAGCATCAA